ATCCCCCGAAGATGTCCTCGGACAGGTTGATGCCCTTCGACGCTTTCGAGATGCCGCCCAAGGTCATCGCCGACACCCTTCGCAAAAAGACAAAGACGAAGAACGTCAGTGCGGGCATCAAGAAGAGGCGCTGCTTTTTGCGCATCAATACCACGCAAAGCAAAGGTACTAGTCTCTTGTGAGCTAACAAGGAGTGACGTGAATACACCTACAAGCAAGCTCAGCTGCCGACACCTGGAATGTTACCATACGATACTCGAAGCGATCGTCAAGGCGGTTGACTATTGTGGCTCCTCGAATGGTGGAGACAGGAAAAAACGCAAAATTTCTGCAGCACCCCATGACCCGACATCCAACAAGCGAAGGGTGTACCGTCGCGTAGCCGTACGTCTTCATCTTCGGCTTCCTACAAAAACGAACTGTCATGTCTGGCATCTCGGCAGTTGTCGGGAAAATGCATGGATAGGTCAACGAGGAATGAACAGTTGAGAGAAAGTAAAAGTCGCAAGGAATAGTCGCTGACCGGAAGAGAATCACGTATCGATAGAGCAACAAGGATAAAAATTGCCAATCGAACAATGCATGTAGAACGAGACTGTGTTTTCAAAGACGCTCAAAGGAAAGCAAAACGTCATTTCGTTCAGAAACATAAAATTGACAAAATGTTGACACCTTGCTGCAAAAGATGCTGAGGGTCGAAAACATGCTCACTTGTCGAAAAGGTCGGGATGCCCGTAGTGGAATCGGACGGCGAGCGGCTTGTCCAAGAACCGCTGGATGCTCGTCACGAACGAAAGCTCCTGAAGAAACGAAACCAAAGTGAGAGCAATGGTCGCTCGACAAGCCGTGGGTAAAAGAGGTCCTCCAAGCCCTCCAAGCAGCATTGGGGGTGCGGCAAAAGGTGAGGAGACCGACTACATCGCCCGCTTCGCATGTGTTTGACCTGAAACCTCCGGGCAGCAGCGAGGGACCTGGGTACATCGCATTCTTTCAGAAGATACTCCTTCGTAGATGCTCAGTCAAAGATGTCCCTCCATCACACGCCCCCAAGAAGCAACCGATCACATTGCACCTTGAAAAGATCCGTTATAGTTTACTCATCACCTCACAAGACGCCACCGTCACAAGACCCATCCCATGAGGCAATCTTTCCTCCAACGCCAACAGCACTACTCTATGAGATATTCGTTCAAAAATTGTAGCAGCGAGATTGCGTTCGCGAAACCGGAGGGGGGTTGCGGTAACACTCACCTGGAGGCTGAAGAAGTTTGCGATGGAACTGACGTCGTGCGTGAACACGAACTCGCGAAACCCCACTATCCTGGCGTGGTTTCCCCCGCCGTTGAAGTCGAACTCGCCCAGCAGTTGCCTAGCCTTGAGTGCGTCTTCGAGTGCTGAACACAAAATGTTACCAACGCAGAGCCATAAACAGTGGCGAGGACAGCAGCGAAACTTGAATGTTTCTGAGTCCTGTCGGGCTGTTGTGCAGCGACCGGGTATACTGAAACGAGAAGGCGGTGCAACCACGACCAGAGGCCCGGGATCTTGGACATAACGTGTGGGGGTACGAAATCGACGACACAAGCAACACACAACACAGGTACAAAAATAACGCGTCGCTAAAGAACTTCCTGCCGGGTGAGTGCTTGCCTCGGCGTGACCTAAATACCTCTCACAAACACTCATTTATTTGACGAAGAGGTGGTAGTCAACTAATAACTCGACATAAAGCGAGAGTCAACTGTAACCCTGACCCAAACCAACGCGCCGCACATCCGTCCTGGTTCATGTCGATGGCCTGGACCGCCTCCCCTCTCGTGAAGATGATGGCGTGGTTCTGGTTGTTCGGCTTTCCCTCCCCGAGAAGGATGGGCCCCGGCAGCTCCACCTCGTACTGCTTCACGATGCGGCTCCGGGCCTCGTCGTAGCGGATGAGCACGGAGTGGTGCCGGCCGTCCTTGCCTGATTCCACATACGCTACCTTTTTGGCGCAGATGGAGAAACAAAAACGTTTTTCATGTCTTTGATTAGCAGAGTTTGGTTGTCTGCCTTGGAGTTGGTGCTTCGGCGGGGGCTGTGGTTGATGACAAACGCTAACGCTAGGCTTTCAACCAGCCGTGTGTCCGTGTATCAGCAAATTTTACGTGCTGCTTGACATATGGTAGCATGGTCAGTCGCGGGTAGTGTTGCAGAGGATGCCGTCCGTGCCAGCAGGTAGCGTCGAAGGTGCTACCCCTACACGTGCACCATGGCTAAGGCATTCCCTTGACCCCGTTCTCGCGCCCGGCTTCGTCCTGGTATAGAACATACCTCTAAGCAGTGAGGCGGTCAATCAAGCACTGTCCCTGATTCCCTTGGACTCCTGGGTTCATGTCTGGGGAACACTATTATAACTCTATTCCAACTACTTATCACCACAATGCTTTAATACTTGAATTCCAGTATGAGCCTCGAAGTTGACGTGCACACAATCAATCCCAATCAAACTTGTAGCTTTTGTCGAGCATCATGTGGTGTGTTAGGATAACGAGCAAGAGCTGTACGACACCCACAAAAACAGCAGCGTAGCTGAAATCGCATCATGTTCGGTACTGGTTGAAAACACACACCAACGCGGGTTGACCATGCCTAGGTTGTCATCGCGTCAAAACTACGCCAAGGCCGTTGTGGCTGTTCGTTTGCTTCACAGTCGAAACTGTGGCGGTCTCCGCATTCGTGTCCTCATCTTCGTAGATCAATTCAAGATCAAGAGCCCAATGGCGACTTGAAACCCACGAACTCGAAAGAGTTCAAACCACAAGACGGCGAAGCAGACGCAGAAATGTATCTCGGGCGGTGGAAAAATGGGATGTTGCCGTGTGGACCCCTAATTAGTAGTCGCGCGCACCTTGAGGGAAGGGTGCATCTCCATGAGCAGCTCCACGCTTTTGGCCTTGGCTCGATCCTCATCCTTACCCGACCTCAGGAGCTTTGCATGCTGCTGGCAAGACACCTAGAAGCAAAACGAATGGGGAAGAACAGCGGCAAAATCGAAAAGAAGACGGCACTCGTGGTGAAGTCCTTCAAGTCATCAAAATGCCAATATGGAAGCTTTCAACACAAACGCAATGACAGCAGCTGCCCGCTCCTGCTGCTATTGCTGCTGCTGCAGCAGCAGCTAGTGCTGTGGCAGATCCGAACGCGTCGACACAGTCGTTTGTTGGGCACGATGGTACGATCCTTTATCGGCCTATTCCGTTTCCGTACGGACTCTCTTCGTGCGTGTCCGTCCCCCCTCAGTGACAACGTGACAACAACACTGTTCATGAACCAAGCGATACACGATAACTCGTGCATTCAGACTCTTGGCGCCGATCTACAGGGCACTGGATTTACCCCTATAACCAATGGCCGCGTAGGCAGTGGTCGCTGGAACCCTTTGCGGCGATGGGTCACGCGCGTGCCCCTGCCGGGGCCTACTCTGACCGTGGAACGTTGGCACCCCCCGCTGTTCGATCAGAACCACATGGTTGGGCCGTAGAGTAGGGTCGATGGATGTCGCTTGCGAAGCATCTTCTGCGTCTGATCATGTGGTCCCCCCCCCGGCATGCTCCTATGAATTCCTAAACGAGTGTTTGCCTTTCCTTTTTTGCGGCGTAGATGGCCAACAACACACATTTCTCCAGCGTCGACAGAACAGGCGTTTCTCCAAATCTACAGTACGAGTTGCATCCACCTCCCAGAAGCTTGCACCGGAACTCCCCCGACACCAGCTCACGATGCTGTGACCACCACCACAACAGAGCGAGAGAGTGCATCCAAGACGAAAATATGCACCGCCCAGCTTGGTGTGGTGTGCCTCACCACGTAGGTGTACTTGGCACTCGCGGCCTCCCTGCTGGCCGAGTTGTAGCGGAGCTGCCCTTGAAGCACGGACACGTAGGCCCGCTTTCCCCTCCGCTCGAATAGAGGGTTGGCGCTGGCCATGTTGACGTTGCGGTACAGCTGCTGGGAGAAGTCTTCCGCCTCCACCTTCGGCCAAACGTAGGGATGTGGTGA